CATCATAGTCTTCAATACCATCACCCTCAAAATTCATAATTGTCGCTGCCAGTGCATCGACACCCAACCTTTCTTCAATAGACACTTCAGAACCTCACTCCACAATATGATTCACCACTTATACTAATTTGAGATCGCTTTCCTGCTTCATAGACCTACAGATATTGAAAGTTACCTCTTCATTATTCAATCGGAACTTCATATGCCCTCTCTCTATATCGACCAAGGCGCTCCCAGTAGCAAGGAATGGTCTCCCTAGGATGATGGGGACCTCAAAATCAACCTCACAATCAAGTATCACAAAATCCACCGGAAAAATGAATGACTCCACTTTCACGAGGACATCTTGGAGAACACTAATGGGATTCTTCAAAGTTCCAACCTTGGTTTCCTTGACCTTGGCACCAATTATCTGAGTTGGAACCTTGGGCGTTGGCTCAAAAACTCCCCGTCTGATCATTCACTAAATAAGCATCATCTTCATAGTAGCATTCCTCAAATGGTGGTTGTGGAGTTCTAGTCAGGTAGTTTACCGCATTCATTTCTCTGCACCTCCACTCACATGATTCAATACCAACCCAAGTTATGTCCTCATCTGAGCCATCTCCGCACGAATTTCATCACTAGATTGATCTGGTGTGGCTTGAACAACGAATGTGCTTTTTCCAATATTAGCTTTTCTAGTGCTCCATGCCTTATTATTCTGGGAAATTTTCTCCAATTTTTCAGTGATCTCCTCAAAAGTGCACTCACCATAGGATCCTCCAGCGATAGTCTCTAACACAACCTTTCTGTTGTCATCCTGCCCTCTATAGAAATACTCTTTTAATGACTCGTTATCTATGCGGTGATTTGGAACACTTCTGATGAATGTCGTGAATCTATCCCAAGAACTGCTCACAGACTCTCCAGATAGTGCAACGAAGTTATTCAACTTGTCCTTATGGTTAAGCTTATTAGACACTGGGAAGTACTTTGCCATGAACATTCGATAAAATTAGTCCCATGTATGAATTGAATTATATGGAAGCTCAGAACACCACACCGCAGCATCACCGGCCAATGATAGAGGGAAGACTCTCAACCCTATGACATCCATATTCAACTCCGGTCACCCCACACAACTCTTACAGACATTTCTAAATTTAGTCATGTGAGCATGCGGATCTTCCAAAGCTATCCTAGAAAACAACCTTCTCGCTGTAAACATCTACATCAGACTGCTCGTTACCACGAATGTATGCCCTGGAGGTAGAGGAGGGAGAAAAATAGGTCATTCTGATTCAACCGTATTGAAGTCAACCGTGTAGTTATCACGCAACCTCGGTTCTGGCAGATTTTGTACCCTCAATGCATCTGCAAGTAGATTACCACCACTAAACTGAGCATTCTCATTACCAACTCTAGGAAGCTGCAAGTCAACTCCATCCTCATGTTCATCAATGATTGGATTATTATGGACCCCTTGATTATTCATTTTTCTCAAAGTTTTGCTTAATTTTGGATCTTATGGGGTCAATGGTTCGCCTCGACTCCGTGTACTTGGCATACACTACAGTAGAAACTTGTAGAAAACAAAAACAAAAGAAAACGTAAAATTAGGAAATAATTGACTAAAGTTCAATAATGTAGTTAAACTTAATCTGAAAGCCAAATTCCCCGACAGCAACGCCAAAATTTGATACGCTCAAATTACGCCTCCCTAAAGAAGTATAAGCAATCATTATCGAGTAAAGAACCCAACTTGTAGGTTGGGGCCCATCCCACTAGGAATGTGGTTCAGACTAAAACTTAACTCAGTATTATATCTGTTTAGTCAAACTATTTCCGAAAATAAGTAATTAAAGGGGGATTTGTGAAACAAATAACTGATTTGTTGTTTAAGTAACAAGTGAGCAAGATTCAAACTTTGAGTTATCAATAAGAGAGAGAAACTAGGGTTTATGTGTTCCCCATAAGCTCTTAACGCGGTATTCCTAAAAATAGTAATCATTTCCTAATGTTTTACATGCAAAGTTGGTAAGATAGATATCCCAAAGTGATTGGTCCTCCAAATAGGGAATTTTACTACGCACCTTGGTCTGGCTACGAGTGTGTGCTTTATTATCCCTTACTTTTACCTCAGATTGGACATCACATCAATGTATGGCTTAGTTTTCACCCTCGCACCAATTGACATTAGACTATTAGATAGTATCACACTAAATCTCTGTTGATAATTCTTTTCTTATTAACTACCTTCTTGGTCTGGCAAATAGCAACAAGGAGAGTTCTAACGCGTGCCCTCGTTAAAAAGACTTCTAAGCGAAGGAATTACCAATGCATGCATCAACACTATTCAAGAATTACTTAGTTATTATTCATACGTTGTTAATTGCTCATGGTTCCCACAACCCTAGTTGTGGATTTAGCTACTCATTCTTGAAAAACACAATTCATGTTTTGATAATAAGAATTCATGAACTTACGTTTAGATTAGAAGAAACCCGAAATCTCAAACTGAATTTCAAAGCAAAAATCTCATAAACCGAAATCTGGAAATCAAATTGCCAAAATCTGCAAGTTAATTCCCAAGAAAATATCAAGAACTAAAAGTAAACAGTAATATCTAACCCCCAAAAACGAGGTTTAAAAAAAAACCTTATTTTTAGAAAAACAAGTCCTAAGTAAAAAGGAAAAAAAATAAGGAAATAAACTTTCTGGATGCGGCTTTGATCGACGACTCGACCTACAGACCGTGGGTCGACCTACGGTGCATAGGTCCCCTTCGTTGGTCAACACTTAGAACTTTCCAGCAGAGGCTGGAACCTTCAACTCCCAGTCTATCATCTACGGATGTGCAGGATGGACCGTAGGTTGACCTACGGTCTGTAGGTCCTCTTCCGTGGCTCCACACTTAGGATTTTCATTAGGTACTAGAACTTCAACTCCTAGTTCAGCAACGACGGACGTGCAGGACGGCTCATAGGTCAACCTACGGTTCGTAGATCACTTCGTAGTTCCATACTTGGTCAGAAGTCCCTAATGGTCCTATCTACGCCTACCTATCGACGGACCATCACAGGACCTACGTTCCGTAGGTGGCCTCCGTGGTTGGCTCCTTCTGTAGATTTTCAGATGTCATCTCACTCTACCACGTCCAAGCCTATTTCATTCAGATACAAAACACATTATTTCTAATACAAAATGGCCCTAGATACACATAACTCTTAAATGAAATGTATTAAAAATACCATAAACTCATGGTATATCAATCAACATCTAAGATTGTACCACATTCTTCAATGAGATCAATATGTGTGATACTGGATTCACGATATTCATCTAAAGATGAATTACTTTGTTGTTCAACAACATCTGAATTACTTTGTTCCTCGACAACATCATAGAACTCTTCATCTCCTGACAAACTTTCCTTTATAAGAAGATTAAAATCTAGATGATCATCTTTCTGTAGGTTGTAGAGTTGTGAAACTTCTTGATCAAAGTGGATCAAGTCGTTATCTAGGATGCTCATTTTATGGTAGACCCCACTATTATCAGGAAGACCATGTTTACTCAGGTTATGGTCTTCAGGTGACATATCGTACTTGGATACCTCTAAGTCAACATGTTGAATAGATGGACACAGGTATAAGTAGACAAGGTCCCCAGATGGGGCTATGCGACTTGAGATTGGTACGACCTTGCTGTCTGTCCAAGTATGAAGATCCATTTTCCTTTTTGATTGTCATAGTGCTGCTTCATTCTTCTTTAGGGCCGCAGCTGCGTCCTTTCAATCCCAAAAAAATTTAACAATATCAAACTTGTTCTCATATGGTATAGGGGAGAATTACAAAGGCATATGTGAACGATCATTGAAAATGGAGAAAGGGTTATGTTGTCTCAATATGGAGTGTGTCTGTAGAGACAAAGGAAATGAGGTAGGGAGAGAGATTAGATTCTCAGCTGATTCAATCCTACCATATTTCAGTTCTAGGATTTGATCACTTATAAATTCCATCTCTTTACGTTGATGATCGAAGAACTGGAATAGTGATGACCCTTGTGGGCACTTATCAAACCGGATGAGTTGCAATCTTTGTTCTAGTGCTTTGATAAGCCCAACATTTTGTACAGATGTATCTATCTATTTATTCTCCTTCGTATCTAACTTGACTTGAGTAAGAGTAATACTCTTGATAGAATGACTCTTGGTAGACAACAATCTATTTTGGCTCATGATATCTTTGGATTGC